CAAATACCGAAACCTAGGCCAGGCTTTCAAACCATTTATCCTTAGCCAAGGAGGCCTACTGGGAAAGGAGACCTCGCAGACCTATAAGGAGCTGCAACAGTCCTTCTCTCCTAGTATAGCTGAATGGCTAGACAAGTACATCTCTACTTTACTTGTCCGACTCCGAGCCCGGAACTGGATGGGATACGGGATTAACTAACACTACACGATCTAAAGAAGGTAGACCACCTGTTTCCTTACCGCACCTAGGTTTCTAAGTTTAGGAGCATAATATAGCTTATATAGTATTGTATCGAAGTTCTGCAAACCCTAACCCTAACCCTAAAGTTCGATGACAGTAGCCGCAACATGCACAAGAATTAGAAGTTTTGCATAACGGACTGGGCTCAATAGAAACTACACCACTAGATTGGCTCATCACCATGCCTCGAACCGACTGGGCGTACCCCAATGCTCATTAAATAATCTTGAAATGGTCTCTCGCAACGCCAGAAGCTCAGTCTCGTTGTCAGTGGTAACATCGTCATTGAGACAGAGTTGTCCGGCGTGTTTATCAGGATCGGCAAGACGGTCAATGAGACGTACTTGAACTTGCTCGGCGTCCGTGACCATTGTAAACAGTGCATCCGGCTCTACCACAACGTAAGAGTAACGTTTCAAGGCCTTCAAAACTGTTTCTCGATGCTCAGCATCCTTGTCTTGGTGCGGCAGAAGAGGCGACAGGCCCTGTTCGACACGATTGAGTAACAGTTTTGTTAGACAGTCACCGCACTGCGGATCTTGTCTGGCTACTCTATCGAAAATTGCGGCAGTCGAAAAGACGGGATTTTCAGATCTGTCGTCCCAAGATGGTGAAGAAAAGCCAGGTGCCAAACACTCGTTGACGTTGAACTCGAAGCAGTCAATGTTGGCAATGGTGGCAGGTCCATCGAGAGATGTCCAGGTCGTCTCAACATTGACCTTGGGTGCTTCAAGTCCTGCATCCTCGAGCGACTTTGCAACATAATAGTACATCCTCTTGCGGAATGAGTTGCGACCTTCATTGGCCAGCCCTTCCTCAAGATCACTTATAATGGCCTGTCTCTCTTGCCAACTGAGGTACCCGTCTCTGTTGACATCACTCCTGATCATGATGTAGCTCCAGAGAAGAGCTTCACGATGTCGCTCGATAGTGTAGTGAAAAGCATTGTACCAAGAATACAACTGGAAGCCAGTTTCACCTCTGAACTTCTGGCAAGCGCTTTTGAGAGCTGGTCTTGGAAAAGCTTCCATCGCTTCTTTGTAAACGCTTCGCGATAGCGAGTGGCCAAAATGGACCTGGCCTTTTCTTTTACGGGTGCCAAACCGTCTATTCAGCATCCACGAAGTGTAGATCAGATACGGTTTTTCGCCGAAGCGCAGGGCATCTTTCTCCGAGGGTGGTACGATGGTATTGTAACTGTTAGGTTTGAAGCCCATCACTGTGCCAAAAAGAGGCGAGTATATGTCGGATGCTGCATGAGGTTTGCCGAGAAACATATCATCGGACATCGCAAAGATCTGTCACAGTCTCAGTACATGACATGAAGCGAATCTTATCATCGTTCATCACTTACTCGGTCTGTGTCTGATGGCGTGTTGTGGATCTGGTTCTCAATAGTCAAAGAGTTGAATGTCGGAAGGCATTTTGCTTCGTCTTCCCCAAAAAACTCTTCTTGAGACAAGACTTGAAGCTCTTCTCCGATGGCTGCGTCCTCTTTCAACCACAGCGGACGCTGTTTTGATATCTTGCCATCGAAGTCTTCAATTGCATTGACCAAGATTTGAATGTTATTTCGGAATGAGCTAGCGTGCTTCTCAACACTTCTGATGGAGTAGCGTAACTCGTCCCAGTCACGATAACGATTTACACCGTGGGAAGCGATCCACTCCCCAGCCTCATCGTTGAGACTTGAGTTGAGCTCATAGGGTCGCATCGTGGCGGTGAATCTGGGGTCTGAACCGTTGACCCCTGGAGTTGCCAGTCAGCGCATGACACCTGATGCATACAGATGCAGACTTACAGGTGTACACAAAATCAATTTTTGGCTCTTTGAGTTTTCCATGCGTGGTCGCATCGTATTGCGCGTGAGCGAACCAATCCTCCTCCCAGTCATCTAATGTTTCATCTTCCACGGCCATATGCAGTGGAATGTGCACGAAATCGGGCAGCTCGTCTGCCAATCTGTCCAGTTTTCCGAAGTTCGAGGGTTCTGGGAAAGCGGATCTTATAGACTCGGCAATGGCGACCATGTTTTGGTCGTTGTTCTGAGCAGAATGAAGTAAATCGTGCGATGACTCCGGAAATGATTCAACGAAACCAGACTGAGGACTTTCGAGGACTCCAGATGGGTTGGTTAGCTGAGATCTGGAGACGTCGGTCAATCTGCCACCATCCGCAACAACAGATTGAAGCTGTGACACATCTTCCACTATTGCCTGTTGCTCTTCGATATCTCCGATACCATTGACAGAGCTTCCCCTTGTGACTTGTAAAACATTTGGTGACACCTCGTGATTTTGCTCGCTCAAAAGGGTTGCGCCTGGAGACTGATCTACCTCTGGTGGGTTGATTGGCTCCACAGCCAGCTTTTCATCTCTGGTTTCCGGCTTTTGTACCACGATCGGATCACTGATTGCCTGGATCGTCACCAAACGATCTTCTGAGCCTCCAGCGAAGAAGTTTGGTGTTGCTGGTACGGACGGTGTGAAAAGATCCTTGGATTTACCAAATCCAGCGCAGACAGTCCAATAGATCAAGACGCAAAGGAGGACAAAAATCGCCAAAGACTGTCTTCGGCGTGATCTGGTGTATCGCGTGAGGTTTGAGGATGGTCGCCGCATCTCCCATGCCGTATCTTTTTGCTGTAGGTACGACATTACACAATCTTTTCAGCCAGATTTCTGGATGCCGATTCGAATCTGAAGTCTGGCTTGAATATCTTTGCAGGGTGATAAGACAATGGAGTCTCCAAGGGATGAATCAGCCATCTCCACAGATATCATCTATATTTGCCCCTCATCGATGAGAAACATCTCAACGTTGCCCCAGCCGTCTTCTTCGTTAATGCAATAGCTCAATTGTGACGAATGGTTCGAGCGAGACACAGGATGCAGCGCCAAGGAATGTCTTTGGGTCGGATTTCCTCGGTCGGCTGGTTATGGAAGTTGAACATGCGACACCAAAACTCGGCTTGGTACTCAAAATCCTCCAGGAACGGATGTTTACAACGTCGATCGGCACTCATCAATGCGGAGAGCTGCCTTGTGAACAAAACGACATCGGCTGGGTCCAACTGGGAAATATTGCGCGGCAGTGACCGTTTCATTCCCCCAAGCCATCCGCTTATGATTCATTTAGAGGTTCCAAATCCGGTTGAATGACAATTGCTCCAGGTTCCTGTCCATTGATTGAGCATTTTCATAAGCTCGTCCTGATCTGGCCCGCTTGCTGGCCTGACTTGCAACCTTTCAATTGACAGAAGCAAGTCCTCATGCAACGTCCACCGACCGCGGTACATGTTTCGGTAGTCTCTTGGCGCTCAACGACATCTCACAAGTCAGTCTACCCGGCAGCTATACTTGGCTCTTGACTTCCTACGCTGTTTGTCTTACAGGTCCAGATGTATGTCCACGACGGGAAGACATGCTACAGATCCCGCATCTTGTGCCCATATCAGACTATCGAATATCGCTGTTTCACCTTGGTAGGGTGCAGTCACGTTTTGCCACGTACAAGCGATCATCGTATGCTTCATGTTCCTAAGACACCAGATGTATCTCAATGATCAAGCCGCGATGTCACTAGTTCCCTTGGCCTGAGTTCCGTCCCTTAGCATACGGGCACACAACATTGATGTCTCGTGTAGGAATAGCAGGTCGAACACTACGTAGTGTGGGTATATTTGCTTGGCATTTCTCCTTACACCAAACGTTCTACTCCCTTTCGGCCATGAAAGGACCATGCACGTGTGCATTACCCGAGCTCCGAAACAAGTCAGTACGCTGGCAGAACTGTCTACTTGATCGGCTACGATAAGTCACATCGCTGAGCTATGCACATCAACCAGACATCGAGATCCTGATCAAACCAGAGCTGTATCTGTATTGCCTGCCACGATGTGCTGACCCATCCTCGAACATAGTCGCTGCTCCGACTGGTGGTATCCAAGCTCTGAGCGTCAAGCAAAGAACCGAAGCGGTACACCACCCATCTGACCATGGCCGTTCGATATATCGGGTGTCTACACACCATCATGAGCTCGCTTGATATCCTTCGATCAGTGGCTTCCCAGTTATTGATGATGTCCCGTTAGTATTCAATGAAGCCGGCACACAATCCTTAGACAATCCACCGTCAGGTGAAGCAATATCGTAGCCTAAATTTGGAGAAAGCGTCGATCAGACCAGAATGACCCTTGCTTGATCAGACTTCATGTATACAGCTGCGTCATCGAGGGAAGTGAATGAACCTGCTGGTCTGTATATATAGGGTGATAAGTTCTCAGACATTGACACATCAGCCCATCATAGCTTCCAAGTCTATCGTTTGACTACTCTCACTACTCTATACTTTCGTTCTTCGATCGATATCATGAACCCTTGGATTCATCTTACAAGCCTCCTCAGCTTGACCGCTGTGGTTGCAGCAGCTCCTCGTACCAAGACTTGCTACACCAATCCTCCTACTACAATCACAAAGATTGTCACTCAGACTTGCCCAGCTCCCAAGACTGTCTACCTTGATGCAGCTGGCAATACTGTTCCGTCTCCCGCCCCTACCAATCCTGCCAACTATGTGACCACTCTGCCTGCAGTCACCAGAGTCACGGAGTTGGTCTATCCCTCCTCTCTTTCTTGCAATGGCGGTGAGACTGTCACCATTGGCGGGATTTCAACTGTCGTTGCAGGCCCTACGGTCCTCACCAATTGTCCTTGCTCCACTCGCACTACCGTGATTGCACCTGGACCTGTCATCACTCTCCCTGCTGCCTTCGCCCCTGGTGCATCTTCTGGTAATGCTGGAGGAGCTGCTGGTGGCAATGCTGGGGGCGCTGGCGGAAATGTTGCTACTACAGTCGTCAACACCTACGTTGTCTACCCAAGCGCCTTCATTGGTAATGGTGGCGAGACTTTGACTATTGGTGGAACTATCACCGTCGTCCCTGGACCCACCGTCATCTCCCAATGTCCTTGCACTCAGGCCACCGCTGTGACCGTGACTGGACCTGCTGTAACCAACACCATTACTCAATTCATCCCTATTCCCACCGTCATTGCAGGCGCCACCGTCACGAGCACAGCAACTGTCATTTCTGGCGTGACTGTCACTCAGACAACGACTGCCACTGCCACCTCCGGCGCTGGAGTCCCAGCTGCTGGTACTTTCGGAACTACTGTGGACGGAGTTACCTTCCTTGTCGAGGAGCAAATCAACTATGATGGAACTCCACTTGCTTTGCCAGCCCGTAAGAACAAGCGTCAGCAGACTTCTGTCAATCTTCAAGTTTGTCTCGAGACTTGTGCAGAGAATGAGGCCTGTGCTGGTACCTCTCTGAACACTGACTCTTCGACTTGTCTCTACTTCAGCGCTATCTTCGCATCCACCAGACGCCGCGATGTTACAATCATCTTCGCCACGGTCATCAGCCGGGTCACACCCACCGGAACTTCTAGTCTGAGCAGCTCAACCACAAGCTCGTCTTCCAGTTCCATGACTTCATCTTCTGTTATCACTACTACTTCTGCCACGTCTACTTCTGGTACCTCAACTTCGGGTACTTCAACTTCGGGTACATCCACGACTTCAGGCGGAGGCACTTCAACTTCCGGAACTTCCACTTCTGGAACCTCGACCTCTGGAACCTCGACTTCTGGCACTGCCACTACCAGCCAGACAGCTGATCCTTCGTCCGACCCCTCGACCGATGCTCCTGCTGAGGAGGAAGTCGTTGCCCATGCCGCTGCTCCTAAGCCTATGGGTCTGACTCTTCGCGACGCCGATCGCAACAAGGCTGGTGCTGTTGTTCGTCGCGGCGGTGTTCTTCGTCGCCGAAATGCTGAGCCTGCTGCCAAGCACGCTCCTCGCAAGGTTGTCATCGAGCTGTAGGAAGCTTTTTCAGGGCAGATAGCTCGGATCTGCGATCGAGCGAAGATCTACTTGTGCGCATTGGTTGTTCTCTGGTCAGTTCTGAATATTTGTATATAATCGTATAATATGACTTTACTTGTAATTCATGCAAATCATGTATACCATCTCTCAGAAGACTCCAATATGGCAAGAACTCTTCCCGACTATGACCCTTCAATCTACTGCAGGTAGATGTGGCCCCTTGACATTGGGCTTTCAAAACTTCCTCGAGCGTCATCGTCGTGTTGTTGAATCCAAGCATATCGAGTCAAAAATTTGAGGCAAGATCCCAGTCCAAACGACATGTGGTATCCATTCACCGATACTGATCACAAAACATTGAATTAACTTATTCACTATCTGGGGAATCTATAAAGAGATCCGGACTCTGAAAAACTATCTGGTATCCATCCATGATGCTTTGAAGGTATGATGATCCAAATTGCTGAGCAGGGTCGCACCTACAAAAACCGAGATCGGCATGATTGAGAACGTAGCAAACACTTCTACACGCCGAGATGAAAGGAACGGAATTCACTCCGTGTACGGGGTTATTATCGGAGGCCGTTAACCTTGGACACACAACCAAGGCACCTTGATTTGCAAGTAGGATTGTTCTTGAGACACAGAGTCGCGCTACCCAAGCTCCAGCAGCTTGAGCTGTAGTCTTACTGGATGCACTCATTCAGTTGGTGAGTATTGTCCCCGTCTAGAGCATGTGACATTATGGCACGCGACATCACCCACATTCTGAGTCATGGCTTCGTGCAAATCATTGCTATCCATGAGAGGTATTGGAGAGATTCATCTTATACTGAGACAATTAAACCGATCCTGCCTGGTTTGATCTTTGTCAGTGGACGGCATCTAGCTTGGCACAAACGATGGGAGGGCCGTTCTGAATACATGCAGGTGCCTCTTCCCTGCCAAGCGATATTGCAGATCTTAAGGGCGGAAAGCTAGCGGAAAGCGCCAGTGGTATCGTATCTCCTTTGGGTATGCCGTTATGCTTGAGTGCAGAGATGAACGGCGCGAAGATGCGACTTGGGCCGTGTCCGTTTCTTGGCATGTGGTGTAGCATCCTCTGCCGTTATACATGCCCTACACGCTTTGAAACACTACACGCTTGGAAGCAAGTATGGTTCACACGTTTGGAGGAACTATCCGATTGATGTAGGTGGCTGCTTATCAATCCATATCTCGATGAAACAGTGCATTTACGAAGCAGAACTTGCTGTAGTCGTGTGAGCATGTCTCAGGGTCGACTAGCACAATCAGGTAGTGTAGTAGATCGGCGAGAAGGATGCGATCGGAACATATGCTGGAGATTGAGCCCTACCTGGATTGGATGAGGAGATGTGCTGGTGATAAAGTGAGAGACATGCTAAGAAGAGCTTCACACCGAGCATTGCCTTCTTCACTAGAAGCGTTTGGTCATGCCGTCAATGCCGTCTTGATGCAGTCTCGAATGACAATCGCGTGATGAATCCTGGCACATCTAATTCAGACCTTGCTTCCCGCCATGTACTTCCATGCAACAACTTGTCGCTTCCTTGAGTGGTCGTCTTCTTCCCATCGAGGTTCTTCAAACCATGGATTCTTTACACTCTTCCAGCTCCGGAGACGCTCTCGAAGATGCACACCTTCTTGCGAACTACGAGAAAGAAACCGAGAGTGGCGGCTATGCCAGGAAACCATCTATATTTGCCAGACATCTGGCTCGCCTACCTCCAATGACGAACACAGGCATATTTCGAGCATCAAGCTACTCGTCCCTGGGCAAAAGGTTCTCCTTTACCATTCTTCCGTCTTTCATACAGCACAGATTGCGGCCCTCGACCAAGGAACACAAGCCATTGCATCCGACAGGGTTTTTGGATGGCATGAGAGGCGTCGCAGCATTCCTAGTCATCGTGTTTCATCTCGTTGTGTGCTGCTACGATGCCAAACACGGCTACGCATCAGGGAAGCATGGTGAACATCGAGAGCTTCTCAAGCTTCCCTTCATCCGAATCATCTATGCCGGTCCGACGATGGTGTCCATCTTCTTCGTCGTGTCGGGTTACGCACTTTCATACAAACCAGTCAAGCTCATGAGAAGCAAGAATTGGCAGAGCCTTTCGCAATCGCTAGCGTCGTCAATTTTTCGTCGCGCCATCCGTCTGTTCTTACCCTGTCTTGTGTCGACATTCGTGATCTCGTTGATCATCTGGTCTGGCTTGTATAACACGGGTGCAGAGTTTGCAAAAGCAAGAGGCCACTACAACGTCAAACACAACCACAACTTCCCGAGATACGACTCCTTGGCCGCTCAGATGGCATTCTGGGCCAAGGAGACATCCACGAAGCTTATAAATCCGTGGTCGTTCACGGCAAAGAGTACCGAAGTTACCATCGATGGCCATCTCTGGACCATCCCAGTTGAGTAAGTCAGTCGATTTCTACGGTCAAGCAGATGCCAGGTCGCGAAAGAGATGACTGACATACCCTTCATCCAGGTTTCGTTCATCATTGGTGTTGTACCTCACTCAGGCTGGTCTCGCCCACCTGAAGAGCAACGTTCGCATGGCTATTCTCGTAATGTTGATCATCTGGGTCCACCAGATGGGCCGGTGGGAGATGATACTCTTCTACGGCGGTTTTCTATGTGCAGACCTCGACTTCCATCGTGCTCCCGCCTCGAATCCGGCTCTACCTACCAGCGGCGTAACCACAAAATCAAAGTCGAGCAGATTGAAGTCTTCCATCTACGTCTGCGCTTTCGTCTTTGGGCTTTACCTGGGCTGTCAACCCCAAAAGGGTGCAGACAAAACTCCTGGTTGGGTGACTCTCTACAGCATGATCCCAGATCACGTCGGAAATCCCAAGCGGTACTGGCCAGGCTGGGGCGCAATATTACTCGTCTGGTCGACCTCTTGCTACAAGCCGTTGCAACGTCTTTTTGACAATCGACTTTCCCAATACCTGGGAAAGATTTCCTTCTCCTTATACATCGTCCACGGTGCTGTAACTCATACCATTGGTTTTGCGCTCATGAACAGCATGGATGGGCTAATAGGAAGAGATGATGCCATCAACCGGGCCATTGGTTTCGGCGTCGGATTTGGTGCGACTTTGTTCTTTACAATCTGGCTCGCTGATTTGTTTACGAGAGCTGTCGATGAACCCTCGGTCAAGTTTGCAAGATGGGTCGAAGATAAGTGTAACACCTCCTTAGACTAGAGACTATACACAAGTCAATCTCGCATCACACCGGTTACCCACTTGAGCAGATTGCTGTGGTGTTTAGTGGTTATGCGGCAAATTTCCCATACCCAGCGGACTTGGTCAAGAAGTCTGCTAGTATGGCGTCGACGAGGAGTGAGAAGGAATGAGCGGTCATAGGAGAGCAACTATAGTAGACGCCGCAAGCAGAGCAATTTAGTGATTTTGGTAAAGCTCAGAGCGTTCTTTGCCTGTCGCATGTGATGGATTGAGAAAATGTTTGGCGTTGCTTACTCATGCTTCGCGACTGATACACGCTACATCAGCTCGGGATTCGCATATGTGATGCACTGGATCACTGACTGCAGTTGCAAGCTTAGATCTTTCGGGCCAGAGCAATGCAGCTGAAACGGAGCTCTTCATCGTCTCCGCCACCACTCGCATTCAATGCGATGATTCTCTTGATACCCAGCTCCAGTGCACGTGGGCTGAGAACATCCTCGTCGTCCTCAAGGCTACCTCTCTCCAATGGCCCCTTTCTAGACCCCTCAAGCTCCCACAGCTTACCGCCACTCTTGACGAAACTGACGAAGTGTCCTCCATTACGCTCAGAACTTGAGTCAACAAGACTGTCTCCAGCCTCCTGGACCGACTTGTGCGCAACCTCGAATGCTTCGTTGTTATACAGCATTTCAGCGCGTCGTGTCATGTCCAGTGGAATCGCCTGGGTGCGAATGCTTGCGAGGTCGGAGTCAGGCTCAATGAAGTCGACAGCAGGACCATTGATCAGGCTGTGCAATAAGCCAATAGAGCCGCAGGCATGACCGATAGTCTGTTTGAACCAGATGACAGGCTCGTCAGGGCCACATCCAGCATAAATTTCTTTGCGTTCGTCCTCGGTTTTGCGGTTTTGGTCCCAGGCAGCAGTGAGTGGAATGATGACGAGAAGAGCTAGAGCTGGACGCGGGATGTGTGCCAACAGTCCGGGGTCGTCCAAGGAGTAGACATCGTAGAATTGGAGTGAAGATGAGAGGCCGAGTTTTGCCGCTAGTCGATCCATAACATCTGGGTTGTTCTCTGATGATTTGTGATGAGTCGCTGATCGAGCTCAAGTGATGCGCGGGATAGGGTCTTCTTACCGAGCATCTTCCATGTTTTCTTCTCCATTTTGAAGCGCAATGAAGCAGTCCCAGGCTGGTGAAAGAAAAGGGTGTGCGCTCTGTGTTTTGTAATGAAAAGTGAAGGATTGTGTTACTGTTTGTCAGCGCGGGGTCGTGGAGGCGGGGTTGTTGCCTAATCATTCGCCTGCCACCATTTATTGCCGCTGATATCTTTCACTCGGGGACTTTTATGGCAGAGTCAGCAGGAAAATACAAAGCTCATCCCATGATATCCATGATCAAAGTAGCAGGGGTCAATGCGACGGACGCATGAGCCAGGAGTTGGCTCCGGTTTCTTACCTAGACAAAGGTGTTGATTGCCCAATTCTGTAGTAAGCGATGAACTCCGCGGTTGTCGCTGGTTGTCCAGAGAAGATCTGTCAAGTATCTGATGAGCAGTGTCAACAGTCGTTACGAACCAGTATCACACCGTGAGACCCGGGTTTTGGGGTGTCAGAGAGCTACAATCACTTTTACATACTGTTTTCAGAGCAGGAGGATCCCGCTTATGACTGTTAGCACAACGTCTAAGACTGCATTTCGGTGACGATATGAACGAAATACACAAGATAGGAGAAAGACTGAATACAAAGCCCAACAACCACCAAATTCGACATATTGAATCCGCAAAGTTACAGATCTTAGCATCCAATTGGTACCACAGTAATAGTGGTTGGATCACTCAGGGCGCCCTGTGCCTGGCTGTCAACGATATATCGACCATAGTATCGTCCAAAATAATACGGTACACCACTGGAATCCTCACAAGTGAGCATGAGACTATCGCTGATTGTGCACTTCGCGTAATGGCTACACGACTGGTAGAAGGATGTGCCACCAAGACCCTGACCCGGACTGACGCAGAAGTGATCCGAGCTCGTAGATGTCAAAGTTCCATCGTTGTCGAGATGATACTGGTAGGCTGATGGAGACTTTTGGTAGAAAAAGGTAGGACTGGCATAATGTTGGCCAAGGTAGTTTCCTTGATCGTCGACAAGGTTGAAGTTCGTGCCCAGCGCTGGAACGGTGTTGCAGTATGCAGAAGAATAGCCATAACTCTCGCTCACTGTATATCTATTTGATCCACGATATTGACCCTATGGCGTATCAGTAATTATGTTGCAGACATGCCCAAAATTGACTCACATAGTTGGTTGCGTAAGAGGCGGCCCAAGCTTGCGTATACATAGAGCAGTAAAGCCCTTGTGCAATACCGTTCTTCGACAGGACGTAAGAGTTGAAAAAGCTGCAGCTCTTATACGAGCCGTCCGAGGCTGGATGAGCCTTGTTGTAGGCTGTCTGAGCATTGCATGCGCCTGCACAAGTGCCTGGAGTATAACCCTGATTCTGCGAGAATGGGTAAAACTTGAAGCCCACATAGGTGTCGTGACCCTGCGCATCCAGAGGCGCGTTAATAGCACCGCCGAAAGCTATCGGAGGGCCGAAGCCCTTGATCGCAGCAGGGGCTGCATTTTTGTTGTAACCATTAGATCCTGTCATAACAACCTGGAAAGAGTCACGCCATTGTCCGGTGTTAGTGGCGCCTTCTTGAGAGATCGGGACTCCAAATGTGGTACACCTATAGTTGACAGTACTTGGAGGATTGGGACAGTCCTGTGCGTTAGGGTCCAATGATGGATCCCTTTCGACATACACGTTGAAAGCAACGCAGCGATCATCTTGATCACACTTCGACTGACAGGTCAAAGTATCGTAACTCGTCAAGGTGTAGAGCATGAGAAAATTACTTCCAGCTGTAGCTCCCTGAAGATTGACAAACGCTCTGCTATAGCCATAGGGCGTGATAGCATTGAGAGCGGAGTTCTGGTTTGGAATCAGCTCGAATCAATAAACATTCAACTGAACCCACTTACTGAGAGATCAGTGTTGGCCATGAATGCGTCAACAGTGTCTGGGCTAATGACAGGTCCAGCACCTTTTGGCTGTGTGGCACAAGAGCCATCGCGAGTCTCAAGCAGATCCCGCTTGGACACAGGAGTACTGACGGTGGCCGGGTCAGTACTGATTGCTGCTGCTGCAGATTCTGTCTGCTGAGCAATGGGGGCGGCGGTGGCGGTCTGAGCTACGACATCGACGGCAGGAGTGATTATGACTGGATCAGGAGCTGCATCAACAGCATCAAGATCGATATCCTGAGGGTAGGGAGCCGCCAGAGCAAGGCTAGGGAGAAGTGCGAGAAGGATCGAGGATCGCATGGCTAAGCCTTGTGTCAAGGTAGCTGTGTATGTAAGAGCGCGAGTGGTTGATCTTCGAGAGAGAGCAGACCGGCGATACTGCATTTATAACATCGCGATTGAGCCTGAGCGGCTCAGATGTGAGTACCGCTTGCAATGAAAATCGCGCATGAACACTTCCAAATTCCCAAGCTGAAGCTGAACTTCAAGATATTTCGACTTTGCACCACTTCCTTCTTCGAGTTAGCCAAGCAGGAGAGTTCACAGGACGATTCCAGGCCTCGCGACCTTCAGTCCTTCAGTCCCAGATTGCGGACTCACTAGCCAGTTATGCGTAGAGGGTTCAGCTCCAGCTCCATGGCTTCGATCTCTCGGTGTGGAAGACGCTTCCACATGCATGATAGAAACTAAGCCAATTTCCGCCAGACAAAAGAATACGAAGGAGATCCAAACATTTCCTGCAAGCCAAGGAAGGATGCGAGGACGGAAAGATATGATGCATACATATCAACAGAGCGCCAGCGAACTCTAAGGCTCAGCACGCATTGATCAATGACTGTGACCTTGTAGCTGACTTGGTCATCATTAAGATAGCTTCCTAATGTCAAAATACCCCAGTCTCTGATCTGTTGGCATTACTGTACGTTGATCATACAATTCGTGTTTCTCAGAGGTCATGAATGACAGAAGGTTAACAAGAAGGAACAGACCTCGCAGGCTACATCTGCGATGTACCTTCGCGTACCTGCCGCTCTTCTCCGCATTCGGCAACAGATCTTAAGGTTCGATCCTTCGGGCATTTCTTCGCGTGGATTTAAGGTTGGATCCAATACACGTCTTCTCGATTCAGACATTTCAATCCTCCCCATGCACTTGATCTAGTCACATGGTGAACTTGAAACTTACACCAAAGCGCAAGAGCGCATCCTGGTGCCATAGACAAGTCTTGAGAGTAAACTTAGCGTATGGTCATAGGGTCGCAGAGGCGCGCCGGATCTGGACTGGACAACGTGAGCAAACAAGGAAAAACCGTTGCGAGCTGATCGTATAGCGAGTAAAGCATAGATCTTAGCGTGTTACGATGAGAGCAGGTGGATCCAATCAATTGCAAGCTTGCGACAAGTGATCGTTGCCCACGGATGCAGAAGCTGCTTTCACGTTCTCTCAATCCTCCAAGGTAATCAGCGACACGGCTAGCTTGCTAGATTGATCTCAACGAGGTCTCCACAGCCACGAACCACCTGCCTGACCCTCGTACAGACAACACGATCGCGACAATTCACTTCGATGCAACACCTATTCTTGTTCAAGATAGACCCCGTGTGCTGCACAGGGTTATGGATATTCTTACTAGCTTTTGGATGGCATATGAGGTGCAAGTTTGATGAACCTCTGCACAGCTCAATTTGCGTGAAGTCGTCTCACATTCTCTCAACCCAGGAACCGTCCAGCCGAAATGTGAGACCAAAGTCTTTGTAGGTCGTTGGCGTTCATATGCTTTGAGCACAACTTTGCAACAAGATCGCATCAAGACTTTCATGCGCTATCTGAAGCAGATGCCGAATATGATTCTCCTGATACTCTTCCATCAATGCTCTCAGACAAGGTAGATGATACAGCCTCAAAGGTACCAAATTGATTTCCACGCTATCAGATTACGAAGTATCAAATCATGGAAACAACACTCTGCAACTGCTACCGAGCGTCTGGTGACCTGGAGCAAGCAAAAGAAGTTGTGCGTAGACAAATCACAATCCAGCCAAACATCGTAATCAAATTTGTCGTCCGGGTCGCGGGATTGGATTGGAGAAGATATATAAAGCTTGTACGCAGCAAAAACAATGTACAATGATATGACATCTCCCCCATTATGCCGAGGACAGGCGCTGAGGATCGTCGATAGCTACTTGCACACTCGGTATCCCAGCATGTCGAAGCATCAAAGCACGCAGAGTTATATCTCCCTTCAAGATGTCTTATACGATGGTGACGGTACGCCATGTTGCGAAGCAGATGCAGGTGGAGGTCCGGAAGGTCTTTCGTAGACCATACGTTATTGACTACTAGGCGGCGCATCAACCATAAGCATCTCTTTTTCCGCACGGCTTTTGAGTTCGTTTTCGTGTTGGACTTGAGCACAACAGCCACAGAAGACGCTAACCAGACAGTCCGTGCAATCATTGCCTTCGAGGTTAAAACGATTCCTGATGGTTTTTGGCTGCAGCCAGATGGGCACGCAGGGTATTGCTAGAACCCAGCCTGCAAACATGCCAATGCAAGGCACATTGAACCAATCGAAGCCGTCAGATGATGAGGGGTCCATGGGATATCGATCAAGACGCCAGGCCGTGCGGCCATAGATACATGGAGAACACCAACAAGCTCCACAGCATGAGCTGCAGCTGCCCATAGAGCAGAGGTTGTGTTCCCAGTCGTACTGTCCGCCCATGATAGGGATTTTATCTGTGAAAAGGATGGGAAGTGGAAGAGCTCTGGGACCCAGATAAGACTTTGATTCAATAGATCGGAGTGTAGTAATGTGAATGAAAGATAGAATGAGAGGTGTCTGGGTGAAAATGCAAGTGGAAACAAAGCTTGAGGAACACTGGTTTTATGAGCCACACACTCCCTTTCATTCTCGCGAAGTCGTTGTCAAAGCTTTTCGAACTTGCCGTTTACTCGATGTGAAACCTCATATAGGGTTGTCTGGTTCTCCTTGCTCTATTGTATCTGCGCAGGGCACACTTCCTAGAGCGTATTCGAGTGGCTTGCCAGAACCTGGGGTATACGCAGTGGGTCCCTGAATCACAAGCACAAATACCACTCATCTCGGACCGCGTGTCCTAGCCAAGACACCATGACGAGGCATGATTGATGATCCGGCAGTTGATAATCTGGGGCATACGCCTTCGCGCATACCTTCTTGACAGCTCATACCAACCAACAACTGCCAAAGTTGTATGACAATATGGCGTCTGCGCCAGATTCTGGCAGGTTTGCGTATTGGAGGCCGACATGCCAATGCGCTTCTGTCTTGTCAGACCGGGCCGACAACATCACAGCAATCTTGACTGGATTCGTCGAGGCTGTTGCTCTATCAGAAATAGCCTCAGAGGTTTATATAAATTCGTGATCAGCACTTCGAAGAGATGTATCGATCTACCTTCTCTCAAACAGTCCTTCCAAGCTTTCCGCGCACCACCACTTTTGGATCCCAGTCTGGGTTCAGCTTTTCCTCTTCCTGATCACCGGACTCCAACATGCGTTGCACAACTATCATCTTTGCCACTTTGGGCACCGTTGTCATGGGAGAAAATATCTTCCAGTCTCTTTTCTCGGTCGCAACCTCAGACATCGCATCGGTCTACGGCGATGTCACGTCCAAAATCAACCCCACGACAGACACACAAGCATCGATAGCCACCGAGCTCAGTTCTCTCGGCTCTCAATACTCGTCGTTGGCATCAGTCACCGCCACTGCCACTGGCTCTGCGCTGCAGTCTTTGTCTTCCGAAATTTCTTCTCTTGCGTCCTGGGCTTCAGACCTGCGGTCTTCTGCCTCGGTGCTCGCGGCTACCACTGCTACACATGTCAGCACCACTACTTCAGAAGGCGGCTGCGTCCAGACCGCCATTCCAGCTGCTGTTGGCGTTGCAGGTGTCTTTGCAGCCATTGCTGCTGCGCTGTGAATGTCATGGAGTCTTCTACTCAATAGCTGTATACTTGCTGGATATCCACGTACTAGACATTCTTTCAACGGTTTTGTGAACTGTCCCTTTGACCTTTTTTGTCACCCCTAGTCTTGATGTTTCTAACTCAATCAGTAGATATGGTGGCTGCGGTTGACCAGATGTCAGCAATGTTGACAAGAACATATAGCGTTATCATTAGCAAAGCACTCTAGCCTTGGACCCATTCAAGATAGTGGGCCCATTCATGTCCCGAAACCTCATCTACCCGATGTAAGATTATTTTCAGCCATGCATGCTAAGGCCACATAGTGTGGGACCTCAACTTCATAAGTGCAGAGTGATACCCAAGAATCAGTAAAGAGATTTAGCGCCGTTCTGCCAGCATATCGATAAAACCCCTTTCGATCTCGATGGGCCAAATCTGAACCAGCCTCGCGTCGGCATGCGCATCTGGCTCTTCCTCAAGCATAGCTATGAAGGAGAAAACTTTGCGCGACGCATCAAGACAGACGAGCTATTTTGTGTTATCTGGGCAATGGTTCGCGATCAGGAACCGAAGCACAGGATACGACGGGTACTTTGCAACGAGGTCTTGTTTCCACGGATCGCAAGCATCAAGTTTTGGTCCTGGATCAGGATCAGGAGCGCTTCCAATCTGCCACTTCTTCAAAAGAATCTTCTTGATGCCTCTGGTCATGAGGAAAATGTCATCGATCGGATCTGTTCTTCGTGTGACACGAGAAGGATGACGGTAAAGTGGACGTGCCAGCGCAATCACTAACATAATGGCAGCAAATTGCAATACTGCTCAGATGTTATTGCCATCGAGACCAATTAGGTGAGGGCGTACAAGCGTGAGCGCAGAGTCCTGATGAGGAATTGCCAAGGCTAGCAATTCTGTACGAGTCGGTTGTTTCGAGAACAAAAGCAGCGCGGAGCAACTCGGTATGGTATGGAGAAGAGATGGCGCGGCAAAGCCAAGCTCAATATCCTTCGCCGTCATTTCCTGAAGCTTGATTGCGGATCATTTGATGATGCAGCAACTCTTAGTCGCGAATCGTTAAGGATTGAACATGCGGGGGGGCTCAGACTAACTGGACGACCTGTCTCGCATCATACTGAAGATTCAAGAAACATGCGGTTTTGCAAATCTGAGCATTGATTGATTCGCATGCTTGCAATCTGATGGACCGAAAAAGCATTGCTTGGTAGAATAAATTCTTCTTCTGTTGTAGCGGGTGATTGAACAGTGAAAGAAGGAGAAAGACTACACAATTTTCGGATCTTAGCCCTATCCATCACGACGAGAAGCACTGGCAAGAGTCACGATATCCTGATTAGTCCTTGCCGATGATATTATGTTGGAGGTTGATAAACAAGCTTCAAAAACTGTATAACTGCTGCTGCTGGTATCATAGAGGTATAGTAATAGGTCGCAAAGAAAAGCAAAGAGCAATAACAACAATAAAGCACAAACACATCTACAACCCCGATCCCTTCCTTGCTGTTCTATCCAGGACTCAACCTTCTCTCTGGGCCTTCGCTTCCATGACTAAATCTCCTCTCCTCCCAACCCTTTCCAGGACTAATCTCAGGCGAAGAAATCTTAGGTGCACTGATAAGCCTATCAATACTGCCCAAGCTATTCAAACTCTTGATGCCAGCAGGAGGACTACGTCCACGTCCCAGCCATTTGGATGTTTTCTTACTCCTTTGCTCTTCTTCCTGCTCCAGAGCGTCGTTGGAGACTTTTCTCAAGGACCCAAGACTGATCCTGCGCAAATTGTTGAAACTGGTTTTGCGCGCTGCGGATGCGATGTTCGGTTTTTCCTTCTAAGATTGTCCGGGCGCGGAGGGGGTAACGCTTCGTTCTCTTCTGCCCATGAAACTGCGTCTGCCAATGCTGCCGCCGAGGTTTGCGCCGCCAGGGCTACCTCTGATAGATCCCAGCATAGATGCTGAGTCTGCAGTCGAAGGTCGCCATGAACTCCTGACCGTGACACTTCCGCTGCCAACCTTGACTTCCTTCTCGCCACCGGCGCCTTGATCGTCGAGGAAGAACTGAGCTTCTCCTAGCTCAGCGCCGTTGCCAAAGGTATGGTGGTCAGACACCACGACTCTGAAGGATGAGTCTGCTGTGCAGGAGAGCTTCTTCTCAAGACGTAGGTCGGACCAGGACACTTCTTCTCCCTTGGTCTTGAGTGGCTTGGTCCGGATGATTTCCTTCAGACCTTGTGGACCATCGTGCATGATCTTGACTTCGACCTTTGTGCCAGCAGGGAAGCCAGCAGCAGATAAGACACTAATGGATGCAGTGCCTGTCTCAGAAGAGGTGGGAGATGTTGTGTTGTTGCCAAAGCTGCGTGTGCGGGAGTGTGGCGTGCCTGGTCCTTCAACGTTCACAGTGTACTCGGGGCTCTGTTGATCGACGAGTGGTGCTCCAGTACTCATGCCAGGCATGGGTGTGTCATCGGTAATGACTTCGTCGGTGTCTTGCTCAGCATTCGACTTTCTGCGACGGAAACCACGACCAAGGAAAGAAGCGCCACGAACAACATTGCCACCGACAAAGACTGCACCTTTGCCAACACCCTTTACGGGTGCGCCGACAATCTTGCCTGGTGCTGCGAAAGTGCCGTGGAAGGTGGATGATCCTTGACGAGATCTGGTGACATAGTCTGGCTTAAAGAGCATGCCCAACCTGATACTTCCACTCTTGCCATCGAGACCAAGAGTAACTTCCTGTCTACGGAATGGCTCGAGAATATCAAGGTTGATGGCTGCCTTGCCGAGGAAGTCAGCCTTGTCGCCAAAGTCCCAATCGAACACATCGACTTGAAAGTTGGCAGCTGTTCTGGAGCGGATAGGGACCTCGAAGAATTCGTTCCAAGCAGGGTGAAGAGTCTTCTTCTGTGTCTTGCTCTTGAACACTTCCTTGCCGTTGAGAGTGAACTTGCAGTAAGGATCAGAGTATCCATTGCGATCAGCAGCGGGAAGATCGGCAGCATCGAGGACTTCGACACGGAGGTTGCCTTGGTTGTTGATACTCTCGGAGGGATCCAGCTTCATCTTGACTGGCAGATACTTCAAGCTGACAGTAACAAAGCTGTCGCGTCCATGGCTGTCCTTGAGTGCGAGCTTGGTTGGCGTGTACAGTGCAGACTTGAGGACTTCCAGGGTCTGTCCAGTGACTTTAGCCTTGATGTGCTTATCGTGCTCGTCATCTCCCTTGGAGTCAACCTCTTCAACAAGGCGCATTGTGATTCTGGACAAGTCGAGCTCGCGGACCATAGCATCGCCAGTCTCGTTGAAGACGTAGTGTTTTGAGCGAGTTTTCGATGAGGTGTAGGAAGCGAACAGCATATCGTCCATGATAATCTCGAGATGAGAACCGGGTACAGCAAGGTCGCCATCAATAATCTTGAAGACAAGCAGGCCAGATTCTGGACGCAAGGTTAGCACACTATTACAGACATAGCACAGATCAGACTTACCATAGTTTGCGAGATCATCCGCACCGATGCGAACCCTTGGAACCTCCTTCTTGACAGGCAAACCATCATCTTGCTTGTTCTCATTGGCAGCGAGTTGTTGACGCATCTCAGCAGCTGCAGGGTTGAGCTTGAGGGAGCCGATGGTACCTGCAGTGTTACTGCGGGTGCGGCCTTCTGGTCGTGCATCAAGAGTAGGCGTGGGAGGCTCCTTGGTAGATTCAGTGACATCAAGGCTGGACTTGTCCTCTTTCTCTTCATCTTCGGGGTCGATGACATTCAAAGTAGGGAAGAATGATGCAGTAAAGTTGAGGACACCCTTGGCTGAGCCAGTAGCGCCCATGCGCAGGCCTGAAGACAAAAGCTTCTTGCTGTCATCGACGAGATATTCACCAGACTCATCTTGATGAGCATAATCCGAGACAGCAAGCTCAACCATGCCCAGCAATCTGTCCTTGCCTAGTTTCTCCTCGTCCATGACTTCAAGGCTGAGCTTCTCACGAGTCGAGTGAACAGGAATATAGACAATCTCGTCGAAGTCAGGATTGAGGTTGTTCTTCCAGGTCACCGTTCTTCCCTTCAAAACACCAGAGAGCATGACACGGACATAAGGATCAGATTTGCCGAGCGTCTCGAGGTTGCGCAAGTCGCGAGCGTTCTGGAAGTGGAGACGCATGACACCGATAGGGGTAACGTAACCTCCAGAGCCACCAAGAGCGCCCTTGAGAGCCACAGGCTTCCACTGTAGCAACATTTTGGCACGACCAGTCTTGACTCCAGCGAGATTGTACCATTCCTGGCCTCTGTGCATGAGCTCAAGCATGTCGTCAAGCTTGAGTTGATAGGTACCGATAATGGGATCAGCACTCATATCTCTGTCATCCTTGATAACAAGACCAAGTTTTGCCTTTTTGCGATCGGTGATGAGAAGTTCCTTGGTAGCATCGGGGAAGATAGGGTTGTTTGTGCGCTTGAGTTTCTTTCCAACGTGGATCTCCTTGCCATTGAGAAGCAGAACGGGGTAAGGGTTGAGTTGACCAATCATGCTCTTGCTGCCATCGAGCTCCTTTGCGCTCTCGATGGTGAATTTGGCGATACCTGTATTACTTTCGGGAGGAGGCTGGACAGTACCATCAGGGAGCTTCTCGCCTTCAAGTACGGGGAAGAAGCGAATATCGGCTGAGATAAGACCGCGAGCACGTCCGTTGGCCATGACTTCGAGCTGCTGAGATTCGAACTCGGTTTGATTCTCGAGTTGATCGAGTGCGAAAGTGGCAATACCCAACTCCTTGTCCTTGCGGAACTCGTTGTAATCGTAAACTTGCAAAGTGAGAGCATCCTTGAGACTAGTGAGGACGACATTGATAGTCTCGTTCCAGCGAGGGTTTGCATTTTCATGAACAGTCTTTGTTTTGCCCAGGACGTCGCGATTGTTAATCGAGACAGTGCAGTAAGGGTCAGGAGTGCCAGAGAACTTGTCAGGATTGCGGAGACCTTGAGCGCCGTGGAAGGTGATTTGCAAGACACCAATGGCCTGGTCAACAGGATTTCCAGCAAGCATCTTTGCGATTTCGATGGGGAAGACATTGGGCTGGTACATCATAGGACCCAAGTTGGCATGAATCTGTTCCTGGATGAAGCTTTCCAGACCGGGGATGAAGTTGATGTCGAAGCCAAAGGTGTCACCACCAAGAGGTTTGCAGACATAGTCAATCTTGGGGCGTTCGAGGAAACAAATCTCGACCTTTTCGATGTGAGGGAAAGGAATTTGCAGCTTCATCTTGACGCGCATGAGACCAGAGAAAGCCATGTCTTCAACGATAATGTCCATGCCCTTGCTGACCATACCCTTACCCAGGCGGATCTCAAGAATGACCTTGGGGTTGATCTTGTTCTTGATCTGACGAGCAGTAAGATCGGCAGTGTCATTAGGAGTAAAGCTGAACTTCCAGTCCATGAGAACGATATCGTCCTCGGCCTTGGGATAAGTCTTGACGTGCTCAAGACGAGGGGGTTTTGTGCCCAGGGTGAAGAACTTCATGCGCATGCTGTCGAGGAAAGCAGGAGTCGAAGTGGACAAGACTTGGTCAACGGAGCTGATGATGGTACTGCAGATGACGGGAGCGTAGATGGGCCAGAACTTGACGAGGAAGCTGTTGATCCATTCGAGAGATTCGACGTCGGTTTCAATGCGGGCCTTTGCCATTTCACGGTTGACGTCGTCGCGGAAGTTGCGACGGACTCTGCGGATCGAGGTGCGGTAGTATGTTCCGCAGACGGCCATGACGATAAAGACCCAGCCGAGACCTCCGCCCAGCACGGCGACAACCCACGAAGAAAGACAGGCAAAGATAATGACACCTGTGTTGTGGTACCAATCGCCAAAGAACTTGTCATCCAGCTTGGCCTCGAGCATGGTCTGGTGGTCGAGCAGGTTCTCTCCTTGAACGCTGGCGCTGTCTGGCAGCTGGCCGAAGCGAGGAGCCCAGCCAACCTTGGCCCAGTCCTCCTCTTTCTCGTGGGTCTGGTCATTGGCAGATTCAGCGGTAGACTTTGAGGGTGAGGGAAGAGCAGCACTCAGGGGCGCAGTAGGAATATCGTAGGCAGGTTTGATAGAATCGTCTTGGTCGGAAGCGAGGACGGCAGTCTGGTGCTTGTGGACGTGTTGCAGCTCGGGCGGCAGTCGCTACAGCGTGTCAGTGCACGAACAGCAGAGTCGAGGTACAAAGAAAGAAACTCACAGCCTTGACCTGGCGGGCCTTTTCGGTGGCAGAAGCATCGACGTCGAACTCAAAGGCAGCAGCACCTCCCTTTTTTGACTCTTCGAGGATCTTCTGTTCGGCGTCTGCAGCTGTGACTTTACTGTGAGGGTCGCGTGCAGCTTCAATTGCGCCTTGCGACTTGAGCTCCTCTTTGGAGTGGCCGTTGTGCAAGCCGTCCAACATTGTGTGAGAGTGCGACGCGGCTGTGGCAGCTGTGAGATTGGGGGAGCCCGCTCAAGCTAAAGCCTGACGGGGACTGGCGAGATGATCCAGATAAGCAATTGCAAGAGTCTGGGTGCTTGTTTAGGCTATGGATGGGTTGTGCGTCTAGAAGTGACAGCAAACATGAATAAACAAGGGCGTATATACAAGAGAGAAAGAACGAAAGGAGTAGGAAGTTCGCCGAGAGAGGGAGCTGGCAATGAACACGCAAGCTCCAGGCACAAGATTCAAGTTCGTGTCTGAGACCATCAACCTTTCCCCACACTGCCTGCTCCAAAAGCCACAGCGCCCAGCCACATCATCTCCCCTATTCTATAATTGTCCAGGATCCCCTTGGACATGAACAGCACAAGCACATCATCACTCCCGCAGATCCCTATCATCATCACTGCCACGCTGATTGCTTCCTATAACTAAGCCACTCTTTCCTCGCCATCCAGACTCGCACAAGATTAGCTATACACACACCGCTCATTCAAAACTCCCAACCCAGCCACATTGAAACTGTCTGCGCGCTTATCGCAGAGGCTTGGCCCTAAAGATCGAGACCCTCCCGCTGACGTTTCGGTCAAACACCTTCAGGGAAAAAGCAGGGCACACCTTGAAGCTTCAAGCTTGGCATACCGGAGAACAGGGTCTTGACCACGGCATTCTTTTTTGATAGCAGATAGCTCGCGTAACAAGGTGAATATGGTTCATGAGCATAATCTCGTCGTGAAAATAAAATGTTGGACATTGATCATATTGATCTCATCAAGTTTTGCTGCGACTGTGTGTTTGTGTGTGTGCGGGATAGGTGCACTGATAAACCGATGTTTTGCAGCCGAAGTTCAATCAAAAACACGTCGACGTACGGTCATCTATATACAGACTCTTGAAATCTGGCTACTTTTGGTCTGGTACCTCTGACGCTTCCTCTATTACTTCCTACCTCACTACCACTTCCATCTCCAGAATGTCTCGAAAACTCGGGAAGGTCAGGACTGCGCGCAGAAGGCGGCCGAGAGCGCGAAGACGGTCGATGTCCCTCACGTGCGATATGAGTCGCAAACAGTGGTGATACTGAAGGCATGAAGCCTGACTTTTGCGGGCTCGCTGATCGTGGATGGAGATGAGTGGCCGAACTCGATCTTCGCATGTCAACCTCGTCGTCAACCGGAGGGAAATATTCTCGCGGACTGGTCGGACCATATGATTTTCTGGAGCGTGAGCTCGGATCGTGATATGTCGGACTCGGTCTCAAGCTTGAAGGTTCGTGGTGGTGAGAACGATGGTGATGGTGTTCAGGTGGTGAATCTTGGAGAGATCCTCGTCGGCTGTATTGTCGGCCATCATCATCGTCAAAGTCTTGATAGTGGTGCTTGTCTGGTAAACTCTTGCGCCGACGGTGATCACGATCCTTGTCCTTTTCTTTGCTGGCTGCATGACCATCCCACAAGTGCGGACTTCCGACATTCTTGATGACATTGCCGAATGTCGATGCGACGCTCTTACTTCTGTTCACAAACGAGTCGCGAGGACTGAGCGGAGGTCTCCGACGGCTGCCATTTCGCACAAGACCAGGTCTGCCGTCTATCGTCCTAAAAAGAGGGTCGCGGAAGTATGCAATAGCAAAATTCTTATAATCAGGCGGTGACTCGTCATCAGTCAAAGCGTTGTCAGAATATCTGCTGATCTTGCGATGGTGTCTTGAAGTGTTAGGAGTGTCCGGTCGATCCTCGATGGGCTGGACTCGTATGCGCTCTTGCTCTTCAGCTTCGCGACGCAAACGGCTGCTCATGCCCTCGTACCACTCGACCATACTGGTGTCTGGGTGAGGAGGGAAACATGACCTTGGCAAGATCTTTGGAAATGACTCGCCGGTCTCCAGGTTCTTGATATCCCATTTCTGCACCGCCTGTCGCATAAATTCCGAGTGCTCGTCGGGTCCTAGTAGAAGCTGCACAGTCTGCCACATGATCCATCCTTCAACTTTCAATGATGGTACAACAGGATCAGCATAGCGATCTCCGAGATTGACTGGAGGTTGCAGACTGTGCAAGCAGCCGAGGTTCTTGTAGATGAATGCGATGGTCGAAGGAGGAGTCGAAAGAAACAGTGGGTCATAATTGCCGTTGACTGCTCGATAGAACTGAGCTATTTGAGAAGGAGTGAGATCTGGTGACTCTGATGGTTCAAATGTGGTTGTCTGCGATGGAGAATCAGATTGTGGATGGGCGATTGATGTCATCTTACCATGACTCACTATGAATTTATGTATGCCTCGGAGTAGATTCTTGAGCATATCAGTGCCTGTTCGATCTTGCTTGAAGAGATAGCCCCAGTATTGATAAGCCTCTTTCTGCTCAGCTTCGGAAGGAGGAGAAGCCATGATTGCAACGACCTTTCAAAGACTGGCGGATGTCCTAATTTATAGAGGTGGAAATATGACTTGTCAGGAATGCAAGCAAGACAGGAGTCAGAGTGACCCCTTGTCTCTGATTTGTGTCTTGATTTAACAAAGACTTGAGCCTTGTTATAGATTCGTCCCTGTTGTGCTTTTAAGCCGACGACTCAGCTGTGGCTGTGACAAGAAAAGCAACTTGGCGGGGACTGCAAGGTTGAAGGCTTCAGAAAGAGAGACTATATACACGCGTCGACTGTGAGCGATTGGTGGGCAATAAGGCAGCACTGCAGTCAATAGCGTGAGTAGATTGAGTGACTTTTACAGGCTAAACAAGTAAAGCGACCGGAACAAGCAGGCAGCAACGCGCAAAGTGGATCGTGGATCGTGAGTCGTAAAAGTCGTCGAGTCGTAGAAGAGACAGCGCAGCGAGTCGTCAGAGCGGCAGCAAGAATGAAGAGTGCGACGAAAGTGCAACAGCAGCACGAGGGCGCATGGCTCAAATTAAAGAAGCAACAGCAACAGCAGCAGCGCGTGCAGCCCAAGAAAGCGACAGGGACTCGTTCTTCTCCCGTCTCGCAGCGGTGAGCGTGACTTTCACCAGTCGCACGCGGATGCACAGTTAGAGTCACGTCGTGCAGAAAAGGCGCACACTTGGTGAAGAGACAGGACGATCTGACATCACCCCCCTGCGCGCGTGGTGCCCTGTGATTTGTCGATCCTGATATGCTCGTTGATCTCTGGCGCACGTCTTCATCTTATCTAATCAGTCCATCTGATCCATCCTCTGAAAAGCACTTTACGCGCTGACACGAAAGTCCAACGCGCTTGGGCCTCGTCGGGGGAAATGCAGCGAGGGTAAACAACAACGTCTGCCACACTTTGCGCTGTTGAAGCTGCACACACACCACACATCACATCATGGACGGCCTTCAATTACGAGATGAGGCGGTGCGCGACCGCATCAGAGCTGCTGAGGAGTTCCTCGACCCAAGTATGCCGCTGTCCCTCGCCTGCAACCACACACAAGCGCTAATCTTGTTGCGCCAGATGACCCCCGAGCACGCAGTTACAGAGCAGACATCCTCGTCATGCTTGGTCGCTCATCACGGCGACTTGCTGTCTCCCTTGATGAGATTCGCAAGCACAGCACAGAGATGGCCGAGGGCATCCTCAACCAGCCTTTTGACTTTTCCCAAGCCTTCGACCGCGCCGTCAAGAACATTGTCAACACCCTCCCAGGCAGGCCACCCCACGAGACTGACCCAGACACCATGTACTACTGCGCTTTTTACGGCAGCTTCGGACAATTCGCTACCAATCCTCGTACCCTGAGCTCTCAGCACCTCAACCACATGGTCTCGCTGGAAGGCATCGTCACAAAGTGCTCCCTGGTCCGCCCAAAGGTCGTCAAGAGTGTGCATTACAACGAGAACAAGTCTTCCTTCCACTTCCGCGAGTACAGGGATCAGACCATGACCATGAACGGCGCCGCTAGCACCTCCGTCTACCCCACCGAGGACGACGAGGGCAACCCGCTTGTCACTGAATACGGCTTCTGCACCTACCGCGACCACCAGACCATCTCCATCCAAGAAATGCCCGAACGCGCCCCTGCAGGTCAGCTTCCCCGAAGTGTCGATGTCATCATGGACGACGATATGGTCGACAAAGTCAAGCCCGGTGATCGCATTCAGCTTGTCGGTATCTACAGATCGCTCGGAAACCGCAACGCTGGTTCTGGCAGCTCCACCTTCCGCACTCTGGTTCTCGCAAACAACATCATTCTCCTCTCGTCAAAGTCTGGCGGTGGCATCGCTCAAGCCACAATCACAGATACCGACATCAGAAACATCAACAGAATCTCAAAACAGCGCAGAGTCTTTGACCTGCTCTCTCAATCCTTGGCTCCCAGTATTTACGGCCACGACTACATCAAGAAGGCTATTCTGCTCATGCTTCTTGGAGGTATGGAGAAGAACTTGGACAACGGCACACATTTGAGAGGAGACATCAACATCCTGATGGTTGGCGACCCATCTACTGCAAAGTCGCAACTCCTCCGCTTTGTCCTCAACACGGCTCCACTAGCAATTGCCACGACTGGTCGTGGTTCTTCCGGTGTTGGTCTGACGGCTGCAGTCACGTCCGACAAGGAGACTGGTGAACGCAGACTTGAGGCTGGTGCCATGGTTCTTGCCGATCGTGGTGTTGTCTGTATCGATGAGTTTGACAAGATGTCAGACGTTGATCGTGTCGCCATCCACGAAGTCATGGAACAGCAGACTGTCACTATTGCCAAAGCTGGTATTCATACTTCCCTCAACGCCCGCTGTTCAGTCGTCGCAGCTGCCAACCCTATTTACGGTCAATACGACACTCACAAGGATCCTCACCGCAACATTGCTCTGCCCGACTCTCTGCTGTCTCGTTTCGATTTGCTGTTCATAGTGACAGACGATATCGAGGATGTCAGAGACAGACAAGTGTCCGAGCACGTTCTCCGCATGCACAGATACCGCCAGCCAGGATTAGAAGAGGGCGCTCCTGTCCGCGAACAAGCAACACAATCTCTTGGTGTAGGTCTCGAAGAAGAGGCTGAAGCTGACAAGACTTCTGAGATTTACGAAAAGTACAACGTCATGCTTCATGCAGGTGTCACTGTCACAGTTGGCCGGGGTTCTGGTCGCAAGGTCGAAGTCCTCAGCATTCCCTTCATCAAGAAGTACATTCAATACGCCAAGTCAAGAATCAAGCCTGTCCTCACTTCTGGAGCTGCCAACCACATCATCGCAACTTACTCTGCTCTGCGCAACGACGAGATCGAGAGCAACCAGCGCAAGACTTCGCCAATGACTGCCCGTACACTGGAGACCCTTATCCGTTTGAGTACTGCACACGCCAAGTCACGCCTCTCAAATCGTGTTGAACAGAAGGACGCCGAGGTCGCCGAGGGCATTCTTCGTTTCGCTCTCTTCAAGGAAGTCGCAGAGGATGAACGCAGAAAGCGCAGAAAGACTCGCGCAACCACCGAGCCTCTATCTTCAGATGAAGATGACTCGTCTGATGATGAGGACATGGATGCAACAACCACAAACCGCAGCTCTACACGTCGTGGCACCACACCAGCAAGGAGGAGTGCAAGAAGGACACCTGCAAATGGAGATGATCATAGTGCTTCCGGCGCTCTACCAGACGGCGAAGATGAAGATCTATACAATGCCACACCGAAGGCTACCAGAACAAGACAAACACAATCTTCGGCACCACCACCCTCATCCTCACAATTCTCTCTCGCATCCTCCCGTCCTGCGTCACAACTTCTGGAGTCACAATCGCAGTCCGCCGCTCCTGAGACTCAAGAAATTGAGGGGACGCAAGAAGAGGGCATCTCCAGCCAACGTCTCCAAGTGTTCCAACAAGCGCTTGGACAGCTCATTGATTCACCGTTGTTTGCCAACGATGCGGCGGATCTGTATCCTCTGATGGAGGCTGTCAACGCGAGGTTGCCTGGTAGAGAAGCGCAGTTTGGCGAGCAAGAGGCCGAGCAAGCGCTTGTAGAGTTGAACGACGCCAATAAGATCATGTACAGTGGTGGCATCATCTACAAGATCTAGGACTTGACGGAAATGAATCGGTCTGGGGTGTTTTGGCGTCGAACTGGATGTATGGAACCCATAGGAAATGTGTTTAGATAATGTTCAACGATGTCTTTTCTTCTTTCGACGCACATAACCAGGAATGATGAGCAATTCCAGTGATGTAGGCTGTATCGTAAATTGTGTAGGCCATCATTGCTGGACCATTCTCTTGATGCGGTCGAGCAGGACTGTGCTCTCTCTGCCCAGCTTCCTCTGGCCGTTCTTGCCTCCGCTCCTTGCCTTTGCCATAGCCTTTCTAAACCTTTCTCTTTCTTCCATCTTCTCAGCTCTTTCCTTTTGAGCCTTTTCGTATGCAGCACGACGTTCCTCAGCTTCTCTCTTCTTGCGCTGAGCGGCACGGTGTTCTTTTGCAAAGGGAATGATTTTCTGGCGGCGACTGTGGTGGATTCCTGATAAGTTTGAAGTTGTGCTCTCTGCCGGTGCATCTTGCACAGGGGCTGGAGATGCAGGTTTGTGTTTCGGTTTTGCTTGTCGCGGTGCTGTCACCTCCTCTTCAGCGTCGTCTGTATCGTTTGCGTCTTCTTCTGGCGAGTCTTGTTCATCGTCGTCGGTGTTTGCATATGTGGATGGTCGTTTAGGCTGCCCATCATCTCCGGTCTGAGCTTTTTGCTTTGCATACTCCTTCTTTAGTTTTGCCTTTTCGATCAGATTGCGCTTGATTTGAATTGCTGTAAGATAAAGTGTCAGCGATTGGTGGCGCAGGGTGTAATGCGGATGTGCGTACTCTTGCGGCGGTGGGTGCCGTCGGGCAGGTTCTGAGGGCCGACGACAAAGCCCTTTTTGTGTTTCTTTGCGGCGCGGTCGGTGGATGCATCGTCGCGAAGGCGTTTTGAGACTGCCATGGTTGTGTGTATTGTGGATGTGTTGTGGTGGCTATGGTTGTGGTGAAGCTTTCTTTGGTGATCAGGTTCAACAAGAATGCGGGGAAGTCGTGGATTTTTCTTCCTGGGCATTGCGGGAAAGAAAAAACGGCGGCCCCGCCGGCGCTTGATGAGGCTTCGATTGTCGATGGCATCAGATGACTCGCATCGGCCCTGACGACGAGTCTTTTCTTTTCTCTCCAACCTACAGTGACTGCTGCTTATCGACCTCTACACCTGCGACACTCTAAGACCCGACAACTCTCTCTCCTCGGCGACATTGTCTCTCCTCTTTCCTCTGGTTTCTGTCCGAGGCTGCGCACATCATCCTGACGTCGGCCAATTCTTTTCTTCAGGCCGTGTAACCATCAGGGTCTTTGACCGAGACATCTTCGGCTCTCACCGCCCGGACAAAAGACGACACACGACACTCGCTCCTTCCCTCCTTGAGCACTTTCCTCAATCACACGCAGCTTGGAGCTGGCCAAATGTGCTCTGAGCTGCAGAATGCCCCATTCCAAACACGACAGCCCCGACAATAACCCCGTCCATAACCACCACCACCACCAAATCTTCAACCCCTTCTTCACCCCCGACGCCCGACATGGCTTCGACCGCCAAATCAACGACAGGCAGGATATCATCAGGCGGCTGAAGACAAGAGGCAATGTCGACCCGGATGAAGACCGCCCGCCCTCGCCCACCACAATCCCCCTGCATCATGACACCAACGCACTCGGTCTCGATATTCCTCGGCCACGATCCGCCTTGCACCGCGGCGACTTTAGAGAAGACGACGACCATCAACATACCATCGCCACATCTCCCATAGTCCCATGGCACGCTCAGACGCAGCTTCTACAAAGGCCCAGAGCCGCATCTCAGGCTTCGTTATCTGGCAGTTTTTCTTATCAGCCCCCCACAAGCCCGCTCGTCCACCAAGCCAACGCCAATGACATGCCCGACCACGACTCGCCTCATTTTACACCCACACGATCCTCGCATCTCCCTTTGCATCGCCATTCATCATTACGCGCTTTCCCTTACCAAGCACACCAACCCCGTCGCTCCATCGGTTCAATCTCGTATCTATCACAATCTCCCTTCCCTTCGAGCCGACGTCCTTCAATCTCGGATGCATCACCTCTACAACATGCTCCCATGGTCGGTTCATACGAGGAGAGCATTCTCAGAGGCCGCATGTCTACCACTCCTTCAAAACCTCTAGACTTTGTCGCTCAGATCGGTGTCCTTGGAAAAGGTGATTGCAAGCCGAGTCTCAAATGCCCACCTCACGTCTCTGTACCCTTTCCTGCTGTCTTCTATAGCTACGCCTCTGGTACAACCACTGACCCGGAACCGAGTCCTTATGTTGGCATGCTTGACTTGGAAAACACCTTGAAAAAGCCTGACGACCCTGAAGCTGCTGCCACGCGGAGACGGCGAAAACATCACCATGATCAGGAACACAGTAGAAATGCTTCTGAGCACCTGGCTGCAACCAGCAACCTGGAACACGATCAAGCAAGTCGACGTCAACATAAGTTGCACAAACGCACGAGTACAGCAGCTCCTGCCGGTTCATACCGCATCCCCGAGATTGGTCAACTGCAAATTGTCATCAAGAACCCCAACAAGACCGCTGTCAAGCTCTTTCTGGTTCCTTACGATCTCTCCGACATGCCTCCCGGCACAAAGACGTTCATTCGTCAACGTTCCTACACTGCTGGCCCCATCATTGATCAACCCATCTCTAATCTGACTCGATTCCCGGACGCCGGTATTCACGAGAAGCCAGTTCTTAGGTATCTGATTCACTTGAATATTTGCTCGACGCAAAAGGGGCGGTACTATCTCTACGGCGGTATCAGAGTGGTCTTTGCCAATCGTGTGCCGGATGGAAAGGAAAAGCTGCGTACCGAAATGTCAACGCCCGAACCCAGGTTCTCTATCTGGAAGCCAGCTTCCACTACCACAGATGTCGCCGATGTGGCAGCCAAAGCAAAGGCAGATGCAAAAAGACGCCGCAGTGCTGTCTTCCCTTCGCATGCTTCATCTTTCGACATGTTCCCTCAGCCTTCTTCTGGTTCCGTTGATAGTACGACGTCATTCCAGCGTCTGTCCTTCCGAGACCGTCACTCGCATCTTCCAACACTGGAGAGCCGACCAGCGAGTCGAAGCGATATGGATATCGAGACTGAACCTACCAACACCTCCTTCCAGAACCCTGCCTGGCAAAGAGAAGAACGAAGTGAAGAAGCCTTCGTGTTTGGCAGACGGGATGGAAATGTTGACACGAGGGCAAGACAGGAGAGTTTGCTGTCTAGGAAACTGAGGGACTTGGAAGTTAGAGGCCGCAAGTGATGATGGTGTATATCTTTTCGAGTATGTTCTTTTCGCGCTGGCAGCGAAGCATTTTGGTCGGATGGAGTTGGATTTTGGCTGGGCTGGGTAAATATACATGAGGCATATGGATTGGCGCAACCTTTCATGGAGTCAGGGCTTTTGGGCGTTCAAGAAGATCAAGAAATGTTTCTCAATCTAGTATCCAAGATATTCTCTGTTTTTTTTCGCTACTTGCTTGGATTCCTTTTGTCGCTGAAATCAAGCTTCGTTTCTGTGACTAGTCAGAGCTACTATTTTTTTCCGGGATCCGTGAGATGCACTGGAGTGATTTGTTTTAGTTTCTTTTCGGAAAGAGCGTCCATCAAGGCCCAGATGTTGCAGCTGTCTCCGAGTTAAGATTGCGGGCTTGACCTTGGGCGGTTCAACCCGCTCGTTTGTAACGGCCTCTAATGGATCGTGAAACCTCTTTCCCGTCGTCTCTTTCCCATACATTTTCCAACCATTCGTTGCAGCTGGCGCCCCATCCAGAGAGGAATGCGCTTCGAGTTCAAGTCAGCGCTCCTCTATGATTCAGGGACGCAAGATCACAAGGTGATTTTGTATCTCAAGAATGGTGATTTAAGGACACCTACTAGACTGTCCACACGCAAGGCTTGCTGCTTCTTTTCTACAGTATCTGCTTTTCACTGCCATGGACGGAGCCTAATCTTAGCACTACGGTCATAGATCTTCGTTGAACACAATTTCTCCATTTGAGCTTCTCAAGACAATCGTGCGAAAAAAGGCATGAGCAGCCGACTGCTGTAGCGAGTCCAGTCGCTCACAGCATTTTGCCGGTTCATGCTATTAGGATCCGAAACCGAATCGAGCTAACTCCACACAATGCCGCTCAACTAGGCATGCTTATACCATGGGCCTGCGAAACCTAGCTAGTCATGACCCTTTGTCAGCTTTTTGAATCCGCTTCCTTCGCCGGCACTTGTGATAGGGTAATTGGCATCTGCTGTGCATATAGATGCCGGTTCTGCGCCATCCTTTGTATGCTTTCTAGCTCTTCGATTGATTTACGTTCATCTAAATCATGCACGTGCATTCGGCAGTCCGTTCCCTATCATAACCCTCTTTCACAGCTCCTCGACAGAGAACCACCACCTGTTTGTGAGCTGGTTCTGACTCTTGATCTGAGCTCGGTCACCCCGATACCTGGCTTGCAAAACTACAGCACTCCGCTCTACGACAACATGGAGTCTCGCATGGTTTCCAGACAAGGAAGCGTCCAGACTTCGACAGAACTCAAGACCTACCCGACACACGCTGGAGCTCTGGTTGCAATCTCTGTGACCTTCTTGACCATCACAATCTTCTTCGCCTCTCTACGCTTCTTTGTTCGAGGCTACATGATCAAGAGTTTGGGATGGGACGACTGGTTGATCCTGCTTGCACTCGCTAGCTTCGTCTGTCAAGCTTCCTTCCTCATTCACCTCGCATGGATGGAAGAGCACTTGAATCTGACTTTCATCAGACCTCTTGCGAATGCCCTGGAAGTAGGTGAGCACAACACAAAAATAGTGTGACACTGCTGACGATTCACCTACAGTATGTCGTTTTGGAACTCGCATTCTACATCATGACCTCACTGTTCCTAAAACTCTCTCTGGCAGTCTTTTTCTTGCGGATTGTAAGCCTGCTCATTCATCCGGTTCTTCCTCATCTGTGCTGACTGTATACATGATAAGGTCGTTGCTAAATGGCAGAGATACATCATCATCGTAGGCACCTCTATATTCTGCCTCTTCACACTTGCCTTCTTCTTTATCGCAGTCTTCCAGTGTGGACCTCCCTCTCAATTCCTCCTCAACAACGCCAAAGGAAAATGTCTTCCTTGGAGCGTCACTGGACCTCTGAACTATATCCATGGGACTTTGAATGCCATCACCGATTGGATCTTCGTCTCTTTGCCGATACTTGTTATTCGTAACGCCAATATGAACCGTAAAGGCAAGGCCTCAGTCATCGGCGTGCTTGCGATCGGCGTCTTGGGCTCTGTGGCATCAATCGTTCGACTCTATTACATCAAGGACATTCATCCCCGAGCATCTAGCGCAACCGAATTTTTCTCCAAAGCTGCGACAATTGCTATCGTTAGTATTATTGAATTGGGCTTGGGAATTACAGCAGCGTGTCTTGCAACACTAAGACCATTGTTCAAAACTTTGCTGGATTATTCGCGTAATGAGTACACGAGGGGATCTGGCAAGGACAAATCTTCTGCTATGGAGCGTGGAGGCACAAAGAGCAGCAACTCTGCGCTTCAATCTTCTCGCCACAGAAACCAAGGGTTTACGCAATATGGCTTTGAGGTCAATGACATGATTCCCGGCAAACATGACGTACACGTGGAATTGCACGCTCTGCCTTGTGGTCGAGTGTCTTCTTCTGATTCTGAGGAGGTGATAGAGCAAGCTCAGACTGTGGTACACGAACGACGCGGATCGCAGGATGATCTGCTTGCCGAGCAAAAAGACGATAAGCAGGAGAACTAGAGTGCTTCCACCTGGAACACCAAAAAATGTCAAAAAGACCAGTGCTGCATCGACTTAGCGGGTTCTTGGGTATTGCGGGTGTATATCATTGTCCAGTCAACGATACGAAACTGTGCAACAAAGGCAAGCACGATGCGCAGAGGGCCTGCTTGAATTCTCGTCCATCAAACAATGACAACATTCAACAAACTGCTGGGAAAGAGCGAAACGTCGCGTGACTCTTTCCATCACAGCAACCTCATTCTCCTTTATTTATGCCATTATCGCATCCATCACACATTGAACGCAAAAAAGACTGCTGAGTCAAATTCGGGGCCGAAAAGAAGCAAAAGAATCACTATCATGACCAGGCTGCGTTCATGCAAGCCACTCATGCAGTCAGCACAACAAGAACCAGGATCATTTCCAATCAGCAACAAGTTTTTGTCAAGCCACGACTATATTACACTCAAGTCTGTGCAAGGCTATCTCAGCAATAGTTTTGCGCCTGCATGAAAGATCGGAAGTTGTTGCAGATAAAGAGTCGCATCAGAATGGGCAACACGCAAGAAGTTCAGCCTCACAGTCTGGAGCAACATCGGTCGAGAACTGGTAAGACAGGCGGCGCGTAGGATATATGCTGCGCTTCTTCCCATCCATTTCAAGTCGATAGTTCAGTAAAGCTGCAACCATGGAGCGCTACGGCCCCGATGATTTTGGCGATCACCCTTTGCATTCACTCATTGGATCATCTGGCACGTATACCGGGCAAAAAGGTTTCTCGAGCCCTGTTCATGTCGAGCTTGACAACGAAGAGCAAGATACTGAGGATCAATGCTCAGATATTGGTGCTGCTCGACCCCGGCATCATCTCACCATTCCGATGCGAACCTTTCGGCACCACGACGTTGGTACATCCGAGAGCTCTCGTAATCTGTTGTCTGGCCTCAACTACAGCATTGATACACCTGATACGGCGAACAGCGGCCTGCATACGGCGGAGACTCATAGTATTTCGAACCCAAAAGTAAAGTCGACTTTCATCCAAAGACTACCTTGGCTGGTTGTCCTATCCTTCTTGGGTAGCTTGACGTGTACCGCTTTGTCCGTCTATATTCTGGTTGCATCGGATCAGATGCCTCAGGACGCTTGGTCCGTTCAGCCATCGGTCTATCTCGCCGTGCTCGCTCCTCTTGGTAATCTTTCACTTCGATATTGCCTCTCGCAGGGACTGATCAACGATTGGTGGAACCTTGCAAGCCGCAAGACAACACTCGAAGCACTTCACAATCACTGGGACCACGGTACAAGTATCGTGTCTGCTGCAACTTCTTTCAGCACGTTCGACAAGATTTCTGCCGCAAAGATTCTCATCGCCGCTACGTTTGCAGTCAATCCATTGCTGCAACGCGCGTCTCGACCATACAATATGCTCGCGGTCGCGAACGTGACCGTGCCTTTTCAGCTAGGAAGTATTGAATCTTCGTTTCAGTACTTGAATTTCGGACCGAGCACATTCTACAGCGATGCACTCTCACCACCTATGGTCGAAATTATGCGAAACTACACCAATCGGACTCCCATCACCAATCAATTGGGAGGATGTCCTGGAAATTGTACAGGCACAGTAAGAGCTCCTGGGTTCACCTCAAACTGCTCCAGGGATCAGGAGAACTATGTAATCAGACAGCCAATGCTCGTTCCGGACAAAGTTGTGTTCCAGACAAGTACCGCCTACAACATGTTGAGCAACGACTCAGAAATACTCAATGAGGCCAATCCCTACCGCTTGAGCCTTCAAGCCTTCTATGCGTGGACGAAACTCAAAGACGACGACGATGACGCTCAGCTTAATGCATCCAAGCGAAGTTGCCATGGTGTCTCAACTTCGGTTATGTGCGTTATGGCTCCCGTTGTCATAGATTACCCGGTTGTGCTTAGCGATAACATAACCTCTGTTGCCACACGCCCTTCCCAAGTCAATGTTGTCCATACTGATGTTGATTCCTACGATACGAATAATCCCCGTCTGGTGCATGGACTGCTCGGACTGTTCAAAGCTGTCAACAATATAGTACAATCAAATGTGACCATGTCAAGTTCCGGAGGGGAACTCCAGTACTCTGGTCAGGGTTCATTCTCATATTTTTACACGACTCATACGCTGGATGGGGATCAGTTCACCTGTGAGGTAAGCGCTGCAGATCCCACCGACGACATGCTTGCTATCTTCAATGAGGTCATGTTTCGGACCTCACTGGCAGCTGCGGGTAACTCCTCAAATATTTCCCTCGTAACAAACTATACTATGAATGCCACTGAGCTGGTCATTGTGTACGACTCTCGGTACAAGTATCTGGTCGCTGCTACCATCATCTCCCTGCTGGCATGCTGCTCTGTACTACCTACATTTGATGGCTATTGGAGGCTGGATCGACCGTATTCGTTGAGTCCTATCGAGATTGCGAAAGCATTCGATGCTCCTTTGCTGCGTTCATCGGGGAAGGGTACCTCGGATCTGCCTGTGGATAAGCTGGTCAAGCATGTGGGAACTACTCAGGCGCAATATGTTGCTATAACGGACACAGACGGAGAAGATATCAAGCTGCGTGAGAGGAAGTTTGCCATCCCTGGAGAGGCGTGAGTCTTTGATCAGACCTGTACGCATAATGTTATGCTGTTGTACACTTCCTCTAATGGGTCTCCTGCTTTTACCATTATATTGATTGATTGTACAAACAACCGTTTCTGCATCTGCCTACCCATCTGGTGATCCTACATCGTCCATCACTTCACCTCAATATGTTCGAGCCATACTTGCCCTCTCGATCGCATCTCGAGCCATCACACAAGAGAAAAGCATCCTGTCGGATCGCTGCATCATCCGGGCGACACATTCCCAAGATCTCTAAGCACAACAGTCTCAGTCCCCATACCGCGTTCTGCCGCAATTCAAGATCGCTCTTCTTCCCAAGTAACGTAAGAACGACAACCAACATGCTGAGACAGTGGTGGCGATGGATGGAATCCATGGAATTTTGGTCAATTCCAACTCCATTTGGAATAGGCCTTTTTCCAACTCCATTTATTCCATGGAATTGAGTGGATTCCATGGTATTCCATAGCTCCATGGAATAGATGGATTCCAAATGGAATTCCATAGCTTGGTCAGGGTTGTCCTGTCAGTCTATAGCTTGAAGTACTCAAGCTTTATTGCAATAATCAAAAAAACCTTCAACACACGACAACACCTTATTTTATAGTTAAATACCATCAAACTCAATTGTATCATAAATATACTGCTATTCTTTAAGCTATTAAACAATATAACACTATACTTAAAGGCAACAAGGGTCATTTTAGGGAGCACATGCCCCTAGTTAGGGTGGTTAGGTTAGCAACCAACCTTAGGCTTTAATAACCCCCTTAATCGCCCTCCATCTTTTTTCAACCCCCTTAACTCCCTTAACCCCCTATTAACTACCTAGGGCTACTATCCCCACACTCCGCTTTTGGTTATGAATTAAGCTCATAAGCTCTCTTACACGCTCCGAGTTTAGTTGTGAATTAAGCTTATAAGCCAATTTTAAAGGTAACCATACTCCGATTTTGGCTGTGAAATAAGCTTATAAGCTATTTCATAAGGTGACCATGCTCCGAGTTAAACTCATAACCATTAATATTAGGCAGTTACTTTCTTATCTAACTTAACAAATTCATAAGTATTAGGCAATAGCGCTTATGATCACTTAAGCTTCTTAATCACTAGCTTCTAATCTTAAGTATATAAACCTTCTTCTCTTCCATATTAAACCTCTTCCACTTCCTTAACATTCCCTCTTCCTTCTTTAACACCTTCCCTTCCTACTTCCATCTTACATAACCTCTTCTATCTTACATAACCTCTTCCATCTTATATAACTTCTTTAACCTTCTACAACTCCACTTATAATTAATTAATTCTTTACACAATGGCTCTTATTCTACGCGATACTAGCTATGCTGCTATAGGTTCTAGCCGTAGTAGTAGTGGTAGCGGCAGCAAGCCCCCTTATAAGCCTAGTAACAACTTAAACTCTGGTTATAGAGTTTAACTATTTAATGAGCTTGACTTAATTAACTACTATAAGCAATCATCATAACTTCCTCTCACCTTAAACTTAACTAACTTTAAATAGTGGAATTAGAGCTAGCCTAGGACTTTGCATTTGCTACTTAATTCTTAAGATCTTTACGCGCTTGTGAAGGTGACAACTTAAAAGCAGCCAGCTTTTAGGGAACTTAAATGGATTGCTTTATTAACAATGTTAACAACTCCCTAGATATTACTAATAACTTTAGATTCCGCACTAGCAAAGAGACCTTTATAGCTAGCAAAGGTGCCTACTATCTTCTAACAACTCTTACATCTAGAGCTCGTAACCGTGTTATTCATAATGGCAATAGAGCTTATAAAGCTTGTCAAAAAGGCTCTAGACGCTTTATAGAATGCATCACTATTATAGATGGTAAGGGCAACTTGTTCTATGGTTCTTATACTAACTATACCTTTAGCAACTAGTATAAGAAGTGTAGCTTCTATGACAATAGTAAGTTTGACAACTAACATCCTTATTAAATAACTTAAACTAACCTTATATAATAGCTAGCAAGTCCTATACTTAAGGTAGAAATAAGGGCAAGTAACCTAGATGTTTAGCCTCTCTAAGAGCTAGACCTTTAACTTAATCTCGCCGCCGCCGTTTAACTCCTCTCTACTAACCCACTACTTTAAGACCTAACTTCCTAGTTACTGTTATTGCTCCCTTAGTTTAACCTACTAGAACTAGTCGTCATATTAGAATCCCTATGGTTAATCCTTAAGAAGATTTAGTTGCTTACATCTATGATGTTAGCTATAGAGTTACCTAGTACTTAAGTGCCTTAATGACTCTCTAAGCCCGCTTAAATGCTAGCTATGATGTTGCAGCAGATGATTTCCTTAAGACTTAGAATAATAATGAGTTTGACTTAGATTAAGGGCTTAAAAGTAGAGAAGTTAATATAGGATAGGAAGTTACTTTGATGGTTTTAAGCTTTAAGATGTTTAAGGGCTTTAAGGGTAGAGAAGTTAATGCTAGACAGGAAGTTATTTTAATGGTTTTAAGCCTTAAGAATGTTTAAGGGCTTTAAGGG